GGGTCCTGTGTGCTCTTGCCTTGGCCTGGCAGAACACTTAACGCTGCTTAATCGTAAGGACGCCTGCTGAGAGTCAGTAGACAGGCATTACTGGATCAGCACCAAGGACTTTTTCATACCTTCCAAGGAAAATGCTGTACAGTCATGTCCAATCCCTCAAGTTCTTGTTTCTCCTGTCCTGGTCTCTGCGCTTATGTATAGTTAGCATTACAAGGTGAGGACTAGAGGAGTTCAAAGGAAGAGTATTTTGTGCTGCCTTCAAGGAGGAACTTAAGTTCCCTTACCTTGTTCTTGTACCTAAAATTTCACAGTTCATGCATTCTTCCTCAAAACAGCTCCATTTTTCACTGCAAACCAGTGAGATAGTGGGTCATAAGTTGTACTTTTACTTCATGCAAGACCTGCATGATGTGTGGAATTTGAGAATATGAAAAGAGTCAGATGTCTAGTCTGTGAATAACTTTTTCACTGTACTTCATCTCCCCTCTTCCCATTAGTTTCCAAAACAAGCATGTATTAATATGAGCTGAGGTGACTTCACCCATGTAATTCCTTTTATTAATCATGCTTTGAAATGGGGAAAAAACCTTGAGCATTTTGTGAAAATTTAAGTATAAAAGTATTTGTGTGTAGAAGGAACAGCATGGAAGAAAAATTATTTACTTATATAAAAAAAGTGTTTGGCACTTGTGGACTCCACTTCAGATAAAACTTTTGCATTGGTGAGTGCAGAACCCTGGAAAATTATACAATTTGAAGTCTGGCTGGTGAGTTGTGGGTTGGAGTGGAGGGATTCACTTTAGAAAGCTGATGGCCACCATTAGATTAATGTTCCTCTCTTTTGCAGGTTGTAGGTGTTCATTCAGAGCAACCCTTTGGAGAGAGTATTTGTTTTAGACTAAAGAAATTAACTTATTTGTATGTAATGGCTGCAGAGCAGCTTGCGAAACTGGGGATACATCGCACATGACACAGGGATGAGGCAGCACAGCCCATAGGGATTAGGACATACTGCTGCGAATATTCAGAGCTGCTCTTTTCAAAATAGAATGCTTCTGTACCAAGAAAAGTCAGGATGGATAACTTTGAGAGGACACTAAGAATTAATTAAATATTATTAATTTATTGAGTTGTAAGAATGTCTGAACCAAGAAAGAGCAAAGAAAGGATTTCAGCCTCCAGCCTCTCTTCTCCTTTCATAAGAATCTGATATCTGTCTCTGATCCACCTTGGAAAAACAGGGGCTTTTTAGCTACTCTGAACAAGTATGTAGACCTGAATTAACAAAGCAAATGTGCAGTAACTTGATTCCCAGTGCAGCTGATCCTTAAATGACTGGTTTGTGTACCACATAGTCATTTGTGACACAAAAAAAGAACTTACTTGACTTTGGCCTCTGTTCTGAGTGAAAGATCCTTTTTAAATCAATCCAGTAAATCATACCTGATTAGAATGGAGCTTTCTAAAGTAACTTAATTTACTTCTTCAACAAGGAGCATTCATTCAAAGGAAAAAAAAAGAAATTTTCTTTAATACTCTTAGCCACATCATCAATGGCATCAGGTGCACCTATATGGAAGGCAAGGAATTTTGTAAGCCAGAATTTTGAAAATATGTGAAGTAGTCTGTGGGAAGGGAACAGGAGGCAGTTGCTTAATGTAAGTTTCTGGGCTTCATCTTCTATTACTAGAGTTTCTGCTGAGATCTGTTGAGAGCTTGTTCACAGCCAGACATTACTATGCAGTACTGAGCTGCTCAGCATAACATGCTCTCAAAATCCATTGAAAAATAGGAAGCTATGTTTGTAGAAAACAGACTGCATCCCTGTCTTGTTCATTTGCACACTGATGGGGAGTCTGGAGCCATGCATTGAGATCCAGTGCCACATAAGCCATGCTCTGTGACTGTCTTTCTAAACCCACCAGATTTGAAAGATGCCTATATTGCCTATTAATTTATGACTGAACAAATACTAACTACAGCTTTTAAAAAATATGAATTTTCCCTGAACATAGAATATATATGTCTGGCAAGGAATCTTTCATCTGTTTGAGTAAAGCACAAGGGATCTGGAAAAATATGACTAACTCTAGAGTCAAACTTTCTCTCCAAAAAGCCTGTTGACTGTTTATTTGACTGTAAATGAGAACCTGACACAACTTAAAAAAAAAAACAAAAACAACAAAACCCTAAAAAACAAAAAAGGAATCTAATCTCAGCTAAAAAATTACTGAAAGGTGATAACATCCTTTTATGTGCTTGAAAATACAATGAATACAATGGATAATCTTGTGTCAGAAATGCTTTTGGTAGCTGTGCTTGAACTGATTTTTAACTGTCTGCCTCATTCCAGATCTTTCAGGACTACAGACTCTTGCTTCCCAAGTCTAATATCCAAATATGAACTATATGGATTGTTGACATTAAAACACTGTGCGATCATAATAAAGTTAGAGATTCTTAGACAAATTCTGATGCTGTTTACTTGTAATCCCTAAGCAAGGGGTATTCTTTGAGTATATTGCCTGTAGCAGTAGCTGTATTTCAGTAGAAATTCAAACAAAAGGCTATGAAACACATATATCTTTCAATCCCCTGGAAATGTATGAGCCTTGTAAACACAACTGTAATATAAAATTCTGGCTTAACTCACTGTAGTGGTCCCACTGAAAGCAGAAAAACATTTGAAATTTGTCATGAAAGTGTAAGAGATTCTAGAGAAAGCAGCAATGCCAACTTCAAGTACATACACTTTTTTTTTTTAAAAAGATAAAGATGCCACAGGGAGAAGAGCCATCTTGAAGCAATCCTAGAAATGTCATGACTTAGAATAATTCTGTCCCAGGCATTGTAAAAAATTTAGGTAACTCTCAAAATTCTCATTTTAATTGCTTTTGGGAAATTGCTTTTTGCAGGTTATAATTGTTACTGTTTCTGCTGGGATAGAGTATATAAAACTCAGTCATGCTGTTGTACAGAGCAGGTGATCTTCATTCTGCTCAAACATTTTTACAGTCTCACTACACATGAAGAAGTTAGACTTCATTACACGTATTTTGCTATAAATTGAACAGACACCAAAAAAAGCCAAAGACTCTAATGACTTACTTTTTCTAAGTAAATTGTGATGGTATTCTGTATGTCAGTTTTCTGTACAACTTCTGAACACAGATGATGCTGCAGAGCAGAAAAAAACGAAATAGTACATTACAGACAATTTGTGCCATTCATTTTATTCATGAGTGGGATACTTTGATGGAATTTCTTTATTGATCTATTGTGTATCCAAAGAGAATATTTCAAGCCTTATTTGACCTAAATGAAACATATTCCAGAATTGGTGTTTTGTAGAAATCATTAAGCAGTTAATCTCTGTATCTGTGAAACATATACTTTAAATATACAGTATAAATATAGTAAAATTAGCAAGATTAATGTGTCTGTTTTTATTGAGAGACAAGGCCTAGGAATAAGTTGAGCAGCACAAACATGTTTGACTATAGCTTTTTATTGTCTGCATCCTCTGTGGCCTCGTGGGGAAAAGTGGGAGTTCACTACTTTGCCTGTTTATATTGGGAATTTGATAGTATGGGGCTTGAGGTAAAGATCTTTTGCAACTTTAAGCACAGTGAAGCCTTTGGCTTAGTTGTAGACAGGCCTACATGTGCACATTTACATTGTGTATAATCATTATACATTGTGTATAATCTACACAAAATTGTAACAAGAAATCACAGAAACTATACTGGTACTCTGATGGCCAGGAGAATCTTGTTTGCACACAGTAAAATTATGAGCATAGTTCTTACAGGGGAAGCAAGGGTAGGGAGGAAACTGCAGGAGTGAAAAGTCAAGCCTATTCAGACCCATTCACCTGAATAATTCAAAACAGAGCTAGCCGTTGCTGTAGCAAGGAAAACTACATTCTTACTCTCATCAGAGCTCTGGTAATGAAATTGTAAAAGTTGTCTGTTCTTCAGCTGTTGTGGGGGGGGGATTTATTTTTAAAAAAAAAAGAGTTTGGAACAGTAATACAGGAAAAAACACTGATTATTCGTATAACATAAGTGAAGCTTTTTATGGATCATAGGGTTTTAGTGCAAATAGTTTGGAAGCTGTCAAGAGTGTCCTGGAAATCTAAAATATTGTTTCATATCTGAAATCGAACCATCCTTCCAAGCAAGCATTTTGTAAAATACTTGAATAGAAAGTAGACATTAAAACAGTTCTAGTCAATTTGCTTTAACATTTCAAACACTTTTGTTACTATTTTCACCATTTAATGCCTTTTTACTTGCCTTATGTAGGTATGTTAATTGTTATTTCTTAGTATCTTCCTAAGAATGGAGTCTAGGTAGGATATTTTGGAACATTGTAATGCAAATCTGTAATATAGTTTGGGTTCCCACTTTTGTGCTTCCTGTATTCTTTCAATGCAAGACAGACATCAACTGTTTCAGTATTAGAGCATGAATGACAAAATTGGGTCAGAATTGCTCTGAAGTGTGAATTATATCAGAAGAGTGAAAAACCCCAGTCGTTATCTCATTTTTGCTATACAGTAACTGTATGTACAACAATGCAAATGCTGTTATGGAACTCTCAACTGTGGCGTGCCATTTGCAAAGAGGAGCTGAAGCTCCCTGCGATGATGTGTCTGGTTTGCCAGATGAGAAAAGACAAATTTCATTTGTCTAAAATGAGAAGCATTGCTGCTTACCACCTTGCTGTTATCCAGTGCTGTCTTGATCCAAGTAAAAGGGGCTGTGAGTGACCTATAGTCTCCAGAGGCTCCACAGATGTGTGCATAAATAAATGGTAAGAACTGTACAGTAGAATCACAACAGCTGTGTTTGTTTCTCACATCAATTTGTGAGGAGACTTCTGAACTGGCTGTATTGAGAAAAATTTCAGTTTTGTATGAGATCACATGATCTGTATTGATAGCAAGGTTAACCTGTGCATCTCTTTACCATTTTGCTTTGTATTTTACCTCTCAGGTTGGTACAAGAGAATGTGGGAATGGACATCCCCATTGCTGAGTGTGTATTAAGCCCCAGTTCCACAGAGATGAGACCTGGTGAGAGAAGCTCTTATTCATTTTCTTAATTATATCTTATTCCCTTGCCATTTAATTATGCAGTGAGAAGGATGTTTCTGTGCTGGTAAAGAATCAATTCAGTGTTAAGAAGAAAAAGTGTTAAGTTCTCTTTATTTAGTCAATTTTCTTCTTCCCTTGAGAAATTATAACTCTGGCTTGCAGTTTTGTTTTGTGCATTGTTGTCATCACTCATTTAGTCCTTGTGAAGTTTAAATAGTCTATTATTTATCTTATATTTTACTGCTGTCTGAGTGAACTAAGTTAGCATTAGAATACTTCAGACAGAACAGCTTGAAATGTGCCACACAAAGCAGTGACAAAAGGTAAAGCCATACCTAGCTTTTGTCTTATTGAAGACTGCTTTTATTTAAGACCAATTAAGAGACTGAGGTATTTTATTTCTGTTTACTGTGTTGAATAAGATATTATATAGTTACAGCTAAATACCTAGCTACTTGCAGATCAACACCATTTGACTAGCAGCAAATGCGTAAGAAAACAAATATTTACAGGGCATTTTGACTCATATGAATTTCTTCAGGATTCAGCAGTGTCTTGATTCATAACTCAGATTATTTTTATATTGCTCTTTTAAGTTTTTAAACTTTGTGGGTCAGAGCATGTTCAAGGCTTGATTTCCATCTGATGATTGCAAAAAAATGTATCTGGACTTTGCATCATTTAAGAGCTCCCAGCTACATGTGCCATTCCTGCAGATGCATATTTTATTTCTGTAAACATTAATGTTGATACTTGTGGTTTATGTTAGGTGGTCTTAAGTGGCTTGGTCTTAATAAAATTGATCTGTCTCTGCACCTATCAGCACCTATCTGTGCTGATAGGTGATTCTTAAGTATCCGGGAGATTAATTGTATGTGGAGGAGACAGTTCCTTTATTCTTCCTCTTTTTTCAGAACCTCCCAATTCTCTTGACCTTAACGGCTCCCATCCCAGAAGGATAAAACTCACTGCTCCAAATATCAATCTCTCTTTGGACCAGAGTGAAGGGTCTGTATTTTCCGATGATAATTTGGATACACCAGATGAAATTGACATCAGTGTAGATGACCTTGACACTCCTGATGAAGCAGACTCTTTTGACTACACTGGACAAGGTAATATTGTAGATTGTAAATGTAGGGTTCATATCTGTTTGTTTATTTACTGTTTATATAATCAGTCTCATGTCTGTCAGGCTATGCATATGGTTGAGGCATCTGAGAGTCAATGCTAGGTGTCCAGATATTTTTACTGTCTGCTATTTTTTGACCTTTTCCCCCCATGTAAAGTAATACATTTCCACTTATGCAGAGTGCAAAAAGAAATAGTACAGCTCATCAAATGAAATAAGAAAAGCTACCTACAGAGAATAAAATTCAAAGTTCTGTCTTTGTCCAGTAGCTAAGTACCTCAGAGTGGTTCAAGAAGGAAAGAGCAGTTGCTGTCCGTTGTAGAAACCAGCATAGTTAACTGCACCTTCATGCAGCTCTGGCCAGCTCTAGATTGCAGTTACATCAGTAGTACTTAGGGATATAACCTTGTGCAAAATGTGTTGGGTGGTGTAAGCTGCACCAGTGACCTTGCAGTGTGTAAATGAAGTAGACACAGTGTGGTGAGAGAGGTCTTTTTTTATTCCCATGGGTGGTTGGAAAACTGAAACATGGAAGGCATGATAAAACTAGCTCAGGTGATGAGACAACAGAATTCCTCATTCCACCAATTTAAATGTTTTATCAGCCGGACTAGTTGTACAGTATAGATACACACTAACCTGTGCAATGGATACTCCACTCCTCCTTTGCATATGAATGATTTTCTGTCATTTGACATAAAGTTGTTTTGCCTTGTCTTACTTTATTTACCCTCACGATGTACAAAATAGTGTTAACATTAATTTATTTCTAGTACCTTAGGAATCATATAAGAACTGTGGTCACTAATGTAATTACATAAAGATCTTAAGCTATCTAAGGAGAAAATGAGTGTGACCATTTTACAATCTACAACAGAAAGAAAATGGATCCATTTAAGCTGAATTTTCCCTTGCATTTAGATTTTCTGTTGCTAGTAAGGTCAGTATAATTTAAAAATGGCATGCTCTTCTGAGCATACAAGAACAGTTGCATCAGTTTAAGTGATAGTGCTAAAGAGGCATTACTGTGTACTCAACCATGCATGAGCATGTCTGTAATGTCACTCATTAGACTCATTTCTCTCTAATGTCACTTCTCATTAGACTTCCTTATGGGTAATTGTAGAGCATAGTGATGAGTTGCTTGATGGTCAGAATATTTTGCAGCAAAGGTTAAAACTAACGCGCACACACACAAACACACACACACATAGAGCAGCATGTGCTTGCAGTTGTAGACTGTTGTGACCGCTGTATGAGAGCAAAAATCTGTCTATGGTGGAACAGATTTTGCCTTTAAGCCTTAAAGTAAATAAATTCTACTCCAGTGATTTTGGTGGCAGTTACATTTATGGAAAGCACTTCTCTTCAGCTTTTTTTGCTACTTTCTTAATGGGATTATTTATTCAGTTGCTAAGGTTGGACCAGTTTCCGTAAACTCCTAAGTGAGGAAGAACTCAAGGTGCTTGTGTTTTGGTGACATTTTTAAAGTTGTGCAGTTTGATTTTAGCCATTATCAGCAAAATGTAATCCAGTTAAATGACCCAGGAATATAGAGCAGAAAAGAAAAAAAAAAATCACATTTTATTGAAATGAACTGGCATTAAAATATGTAGGCTATATAGTACATGAAATTGATAGCTAGGACTATAGTCATAAGAACTAGTGCAGAATGGTTTATTTGCATGTTAAATAGCCTTTGATATCTTTGTACTTTTGTCACTCTACTGTTAAGCAGTATGTGCTCTACTGTTACTAGCACCCATAATCTCCCACAGATCAGTGCTTCTAGATTGTTGTTCCAAACTCAAGGAAGTAGATACTGAGAAGACGCATCTGTTGAGACTATAGAGAACAGTGATTTTTATGTAAAAGGCAACTGAGGAAACCAAGACTGTTTTCACAACGGGACAATGTTGCCCAGGGAAGCTGTGGATGGCCCCTCCCTGGAAGTGTTCAAGGCCAGGTTGGACGGGGCTTTCAGCAACCTGGTCTGGTGGGAGGTGTCCCTGCCCATGGCAGAGGGGTTGGACTGGACGATCTTTAAGGTCCCTTCCAAACCAAACCATTCTATGATTCTATGATTCAAGTGTCCAACTCATTGCTGGAATGCTGATGGCTCTATAATACAAGAAATAATTGAAACCCATTTGTTTAAAAGGATTATGAAGAAGAATCATCACAACTCCAATGTGCAAAAAAAATAGATGAGTGGAAATACTAAAGTACTCATCTTAAACTAGTGCCTGACTTATTTAGGGATTGGTCCGTAATCAGTTGCATTTTTAAAAACCATATGTGCATATAAGTGAAGGCCACCTTCCAAATCATTGCTTATTATTTTGCCTGCAGATTTTTATTTCCTTTCTGAATTTCACACTGGTGCATCTTTCTCTGCAATATCATCACACTAAGCAGTAAAGCATAGACAGTACTTCAGGAGGAGGCAGTCTAGTACCATTTCTACAAAAAAAAATAATTTTAATAGTTCCAGCATTGTAAGTTTCATAAGGAACTCTTTTCATCATTTGCAGTTTCAGCAACAAAATAAAATTTATCAAACCCCAAATACAGTTAGTGCTTCCAGCGTTAGTCTGGCAGTTACCTAGCCCATCCTCTTTTCACTAAAGCTGTTCTACCTCCTGCAGTTCTCTCCCTCAGTAATGGTTTTTGCATCCTCTGAGGAACCAGCTGTCTAGAGAGTTTTCGTAGGCTGTTCTGGTGATCTCATCTATCTATTCTGAAAGCACCTGAGCTGCTTAATATTGTCATGTGCAGACCCTGTATCCTCAAACAAATGGACAGGCTGTGATGGCCTGTCAAAGTTTGCATCGCTTCCATGCATGTGTGTAGTTCTCGTATTGTTTCCTATGGTATCTTTACATGATTAAAATCATACAAAATTGTATTAATATAGCTAGGTTTGAGGGGAGTGTGGTTATGCATTTTGTAAACTCGTTTCCAATGTCCTGGAATATGTGATATTTCAAAACTGAATACTAATAAGTATATTATTAAATATCATGAGCATTGTACCCTGAGAATAATATTTCATACTTCATACTTCAGTTTGACGATATATAATCTGTTGACTAGCAACTGTGAAACAAATTTTGAAATAGTATACTGGAAAAAAAAGTTACCTTTTGCAGTCTGCTCTCCTTCGTAATCTTAAATCTCCTCAAACCCCATTTGTCTGCAGTTAAGGAAAAAAGGCTTATGTGATCATGTTATATATGCACAAATATGTATTTTTTGATCTTCCATTCTTATTTCTACCATTAAAAGAATTTTCCTTGGATGTGTTTTTAGCATATGGACTGGTTAGACAATGAGATAGAAGGTGAAATACTACTACTTTCTTGTAAGGTTCCAGCAAGCAGGCATTAGGTAAAGAAAAGATTTAGTGATAGATTCAGCTTTTGTTGCACATGGGACAATCTACCTCTAGGAAGGGGACTTCCTGTCAGTATGATTCGCTAATAATACTTTGTATTAGGGACAAAAAAGACAAGACAGGTGGCTGTAGAAATTAAGACTTTATTAGTACTACTGTAACAATAAATGTTCAGTAAGTGTCCAACCTAATACATATTTTTTTAAATTTCAAAGCTGGAGGTTTTTTTGTTTTGAGGAACTTGATATTCCGAAGAAATTTGGTGGAATTATTGACTGGGTTTAATGCAGAATATCAGTTTTGCAAATTAATAATCAGTACGTGTATGTGTATGTGCCTAAAGATTCTATGTATGAAGAAATATTTGATATGTACACAGTCTACTATCTTTATTCCTGATTCCATAAAGATAATTGATTTAATTATTATTATAAGGTGATGTGTTTTAAGGATCATATACTTCCATTTGTGTGAGTAGTTCAAGAAGCAGCATTAATCAGAGACATCAAAAGATAAAACAAAACATAAAAGGTTTGAGGCCTTCTGTGAAACATTGTGTTCTTTACTACTTGTCCTTAATTAAAATCACTTAATTTAGTTAAGAATAAACTCTTTTAGATCTCTTCGTTATTTTCAAATAAGATGTCTAATCAGCTTCTTATGTATATACAGGTATGTCAGTGTATGTCTCACTATATCTTCAGTTACTGTTACCTAACTTACTGACTTACATGATCAATTCACAGAATGGTAGGGATTGGAAGGAACCTTTGAAGATCTAGTCCAACTTCCCTGCTAAAACAGGATTCCGTTCTTATTTATGATTGCAGAGCCAGAATAATACTTTTAAAAGAACAGTTTATTTTATTTGTTTACTTTAAATATGTGTAATACATAAAATGTATAGAATCTTTACCATGGGGATATATCAATAATGTGCACACAGCCACAAGGCAGAGGTGCTTTAGCAAAAATAACAGTACAAAAGAGGGATTTTTTTTTTTCCTGTGGAAAAAACAGTATGTTGTAAGAGTAACTAAAGAAAGAAATTACTAATTCCAGCCTTGGAGAGAATCAGTTTTCATGCCACTTTCTCTGCAACCAGACATTAAAACTGGATGGCAGTTAAATTTGTGTTAAGAGCCATCTCATCAATGTACAATGGGAAGGCAGGTTTTGTTAATTACATCACAGGTTTCCTGAAACAAAGGGTATCCAGCAGAGAAGCTGTGCTATGAGACTTGATAGTCTCTTGTCAGCTGTACAGTTTACTTACTGTAATCACTGTCTGTGGACTCCATGTACCTGAGTATGGTGTGGGTGCTGGTATGAACAGGGCAGGTTGCCTTGCTGCTCTGTACTTCACTTCTGGGAGGGAACTGATCTTTAACCTCAACCCAAAGGCCCTGAGGGAGGCAAATACTGAGCATAAGGTATATTAGGAGTCAGCATTATCTCATGACTGAAGCAGAGAAAGATGGGCATTCTTCATGTTTGCTGGTGCCAGATGTGAAGAGACTGTGGACAAACTGGGAAAAAGTTGAGAAGCTGTAGCTCTGTGGTAATTCCACTCTAGACAGAAGCATTGTTGTGTTCATTTTTTTCCCTGTTTTGCTATTTAGTGCTTTTTAGTATAGTTCTCATACCTGCAGCTGATCAGTTTTAATAACTGGATGCAAAAATGTAAAAATCACTTGACAGTATTCTGCATCATGATAATTGCTGGTGTTTTTATGTTCATAATGATGAAAAGTTAGAAAAACGGAAACTTCTTCTTTACTGGCTGTTAGATGATCGGCAGGTCTTCCAGTCCTCTGTATGAAGAAAGGCTGAGAAAACTGGGCCTGTTCAGCCTTGGGAAGAGAAGGCTTAGGGGGGACCTTATTACCATGTACCAGTACATAAAGACTGTACATGATGACTACCAAGAAGATGGAGACTCCCTTTTCACAAGGAGTCACATGGAAAAGATGAGGGGTAATGGACACAAGTTGCTTCTGGGACGATTCCAATTGAACTCCAGAAGAAATTCTTTTACCATGAGATCAATCAGACATTGGAACAGTCTCCCAAGGGAAGTGGTAAATTCCACTGCATTGGTCAATTTTAAGAGTCAGCTTGACAGGGTGCTGACTCATCTCATTTAAACTAGACTTTTACCTTGAGAGGTTGGACTAGGTGATCCTTGTGGTCCCTTCCAACTGCCGATTCTATGATTTATTATTTATACCAATGCAGATCCAGGATAGTGCTGTAAAAGTCCAGTTGATTTCAGTCATCTATTTCAAATGCATGTAACAGAGAAAATACTTAGAGCTTTTACAGGAAGATATAATACATACAATTTATTTTTTTTTTACAGAAGAGCAGACTGCTACTAAGGATGCTTCTCAGGAGGAGTCTGAATCAATTCCAGAGTACACTGCTGAAGAGGAGCGAGAGGACAACAGGTTATGGAGAACAGTGGTTATTGGAGAACAAGAACAAAGAATTGATATGAAAGTCATTGAACCTTACAAAAAGGTCATTTCACATGGAGGTAGGAAAACCCTGAATGCATTTTTTTAGATTGATGTAAACAATTCAGAATTTACAGAATCACAGAATGGTAGGTGTTGAAAGAGACCTCTGGAGAGATCATCTAGTCCACCCCCAGCTAAAGCAGGTTCACCTACAACAGGTTGGACAGGATTGCATCCAGGTGGGTTTTGAGTATCTCCAGAGAAAGACTCCACAACCTTTCTGGACAGGCTGTTCCAGTGCTCTGTCACCCTCAGAGTAAGGCAGTTTTCCCTCATGTTGAGCTTGAACTTCTTGTGCTTCATTTTGTGCACTTGTCCTGTCGCTGGGCACCACTGAGAAGAGTCTGGCCCCATCCTCTTGACCCCCAGCCTTTAGATATATATAAGAATTGATAAGATCTTCACTCAGTCTTCAGACTGAACAGACCCTGCTCTTTCAGTCTTTCCTTATATGGGAGATCCAATCCCCTAATCGTCTTTGTAGCCCTGTGCTTCCATGTCTTGAACTAGAAAGCCCAGAACTGGACATGGTACTCTAGATGTGACTTCACTAGGCCAGAGTAGAGTGGGATGATACCCTCCCTTGGTCTGCTGACCACACTCTTCTTAGTGCACCCCAGGATACCTTACTGGCCACAAGAACATATTGCTGGCTCATTAACTTCTCCTTCTCCTGAGAGTTGCTTTGCAGCAGGTCACCCACTAACCTGTTCTGGTGCATAGGGTTATTCTTCCCCAAGTGCAGGACCCTACACTTACTTTATTTGGACTTCTTTAGGTTCTTCTCCACCCAACTCTCCAGCCTGTTCAGGTCTCACTGAATGGCAGCACAGCCTTCTGGTGTATCAGCCACTTCTCCTAGTTTTGTATCATTAGCACACTTGCTGAGGGTACACTCTTCCTTCAACCAGGTCATTGATGAATGTGTTGAACAAGACTGGACCCAGTACTGACCCCTAGGGAACACCACTAGCCACAGGCCTCCAACTACCACGGCCTCCAGCTAGACTTTGCACTGCTGATCACAACCCTCTGAGCTCTGCCATTGAGCCAGTTCTCCATCCACCCCACTGTCTGCTCATATAACCCATACTTCCTAAGCTAACCTATGAGGTTGTTATGGGATGGTGTCAAAAACCTTACTGAAGCTGAGGTAGACAACATCCACTGCTCTCCCTTCATCTACCCAGCCACTCTTGCCATTATAGAAGACTATCAGATTGGCCAAGCATGATTTCCCCTTGGTGAATCCATGTTGGCCACTCCTGATAACTGCCTTTTCTTCCACATGCTTAGACTGGCCTGTAGTTTCCTGGGTCCTCCGTCTTGCCCTTTTAGAACACTGGAGTGACATTTGCTTTCCTTCAGTCCTCAGGCACCTGTCCTGTTCTCTATGACCTCTTGAAGATGATGGAGAGTGGCTTAGCAGTAACGTCTGCCACCTCCCTCAGCCCTCCTGGCTGGGTTGCATCCCATTGGGGTTAGACTTGTGGGTATTGAGTTTGCCTAAATGATCTCTAACCCAAACCTCCTAGACCAAGGAAAAGTTTTCCTTTCTATTGACTTTTTACCTCCAGTGTCTGGGATTCTTGTGGGCTGGCCTTAGCAGTAAATACTGAAGCAAAGAATGCATTCAGTAACTCTTCCTTCTCTCTATCCTCCATCACCAGGGCACCAACCTCATTCAGCAGTGAGCCCACATTTTCCCTAGTCATACTTCTGCTACTGATGTACTTGAAGAAGCCCTTCTTCTTGTCCTTTACATCCCTTGCCAGATTTAATTCCAAATGGGCTTTAATCCCAAGTGGGATTTAATTCTATTTTAGTCCAGTTATCATAGAGGCATAGGGAGAGTTTATTTTTCAGTCAAGGCTGAAATCAAACTGGCTTTCAATTCAGTGTGGTAATGACTGAGTATTTAAAATACAAAGCTATTTCAGGAGCAACAAATAACCTGTGTTTGTAACAGTCTGGGCATTGTAGGCTAGTACTGTGATAACAAAAAATCTTTTGTCCTACAGAAAAAAGAAAGATTTTGTTCTGTGGTTTTTGGCAAAAGCTTTTGCGTGAGAAAGTGTAGTGCTCTGTGATTTGTTGAATGATGTACATAGGTGCACAGATCTAAACAAGTAGAATGCAAAAGAAAAAATAGTTTTCCCTGGGGCTTACTTTCAGCTAGCTAAGTGCTTATGTTAATTTGCTGCCATTTATAGTTGTCAACAGATAGCATTTCACCAGAAACTGTTCTATAGTTGGTTTGTTTGGTTTTTTTCACATAATTTATTAAAGGTTATCAAACAAATAAAACATTTAAAGTAGAAACATTACCTCATGTGCTTGCCATGTTGTCTCCTTTGCTCATCTGCTCCCTAGTCATATCAGCGAATTTGTGGTTCCGGTGTTACTAACACACTTCTGTAGAAATTAATTCAAGTGGATAAATATTACTGTACATATTGAAGGAAGAAAATGAAACAAAGCTTCTCAAGTGCCTTTTCTTTGGTGCCTCACGTTTAGGTTGTCTTTTGATTCTGTATATCTGGGGGACACTGTTTGCCAGCTGTTAAATAAGGTATTAAGTATAGATGAGTTGTTCTATTCCTGCAAAAACTGAGGCAGGTAACTTAGCATCTTAGAGGTAAGATTTGTGAGTTTATATAAGGATGCTTCTGTCATGGTGTTGCAGATCTGTAGCTTCATTTAAAGGTAACCCATTGTTTCCAGTATATTTTCAGTGTTGAATCTCTATCTGGTAAAAGTGACATAAATAAATTAAGTTTATTTGTATTACCTGAGGATGTGGCCCTCCAATTTGCACATTTACATTAAAAGCAGCTAAATGCTGGCCTACGGATGTTCACAGTGACCAGTGTGCAGAAGGTTTGGTTGGAATTAATAAAAACATTCAAACCTCCAAGCATTTTCCCACTGTAACACCACCATCAAAGATTTATGAATGTGATGACACCTCAGACATAGTTTAGCAAACAGACACAGATGACATAATTTAGGAAACAAACATAAAATATTTTGAGGCCTTGCTCATGGTGTTTATTTATGTGGGTCTTTTTGTATGCTGTAAACTAGTCTAGGTACATTTGTGGTGAAAACTGTCAGGTACAGTTCCTACTGATGATACATTTATACCAGCTTTTATGAAAAATAAATACCAGTGAGTGGAGAAGCAGCTCTTAATTGAGCACTGCTTGACTGTTGAACAAAGCATAGTTCCAGTGGCAGACATCTCTGGAGGCAACTATAAAGTACATAATAATGTACAGTTATCACTGAAAGTCTAGGTCATTCAGCTTGGTTCTCAGTGTGAAATAATCAGGATTCAATTTTTACATGTCTGATACCTATTTTTGTTAGATCACTCAAATCTAAGACAAAGAACATAGTTTCTTTTATAATGGCTAAATTACTGGCCAGCACCCAATTCAGAAGTAAATGAAACAATGTGAGATGTAATGATAAGTTTCGGCCCATGACATGGAATCGCACCAAAATGGCTACACGCACACAGATAATGAACTCAAACAAGCTTTAATCTGCAACTGAAATGAAGCAGACAAAACTTCATTCACCAAAACAACATTCCACTGACATTCAACAAATACAGGTTCGATATGCTGGTTAGGAATATTACCAGACACGGCTGAGTTAAGAATTCTTCAATTTTTGGCCAAACGATCCAAAAATGTGCACTCACTCACCAAAAAAGGGAGGGCTCTCAATCTCGAGAAGTTACCTTAAGTGGCATCCCAACTCAAGGGGAGAGTCCCCAACTGCAGACCTGCTGCTCCAAGGAGGACCGACTCAAATGAGTCCTCTGACGGGTCCCCATTTATACCCATTTATACATGGTCGTGTCACCCCCTATGGGCTGAGGACCCCAACTTTCCTGCCTTTGACCCCCACTGTGTGGACCAGACATGAGCTGTGAGGGGGGTGGCAGTCCTGGCACCACCAGGGCCAGAAATGTTAGCACTGTCTTTGGGTCTTTCTCAGGTCTTCAGTAGAGTGGGTGCATCTGCCACAGCGCACCACTGACTAAATTGGAAATTCTGCCTGAAATCTAGCCTTATCAAATTGAGTTAAGAACTGGATTAAATACTGTGCTTATGAAGAGATAAACGGAAGATGTGGAAATTAAATAATTCTGATACATGGATCATGGGAAAGCTTTGGATAGCTTGAACAGTTTCTGCAGTATGGTGCCTAGGCCTAGTCTGTGTGATATTCCCTTTGGCAATACTTTAGTATCTTTGGAGTGCTGGAGGGCCAGGAATCTTCCTTTAACCTCAAGACTAAGAACACTGTCTGGCTAAATTTAGTTAATTAGAAGTCAGGTCAAAGATCTCTTCATGATTAAATGACCTACTCAGCACTCCTCCCTGACAGATGACAGATAACAGAAAATGACGGAATCTACATGGTAGCCACAAAATAGGAAAGGGTAGAGTAGACTTGGCAGTCTAGGTGTGTGAGATTGCCTTCCACATATGTTGACGGAAAAATTTCTAAGAGATCTGTCTCTTTGCATAGTCTGACTGAGAATTTGGGCAAATGGCTTTTACTGGCTTCTAGTGATGACTTAAAAAAATACATCTCCCTTGGGTGAATATTCCTTGTCTACAAGTATATGTAAGAAAAAGTGGCTTAGATTTATCTGTCAGTTTTTCTTCTGTATGCTGTTAGGTGACATCTGCACATAATCATTTTGCTTTACATGAACTGCAAACTGTGCTGAGTAATTTATTGGACACACCTGCCACAATGTGCTCTTGCTGCCAAAATCCTAAGCCAGCTATACAGAATGCTTTATGGCACCATGATATAAATTGTCCTGGAGTCTTAAGGATTTTTAAATTTATGGAAGAAAGAAAATCCCCTCCCTAATCATAAAGGTGAAGGGATAAAAATACTGCTTTATTCCATAATGACTTAGCTGAGGGATGAACTAGGATGGCATAGGTGAAATAAGTGCTGTTTCTTTGGAAGTATATAGGTCTATTGAGAAGATGGAAACATAACAGAGTAGTATTAAGTGATGAGTGTGGGAGGTGGAGTTCTTTTCTCTTTATTTCTTTTGAGAAGACTGGTCAAACTCTTAAAATGTGAAGGTGCTAAAAACAGGACTGGAGTTTCTTCCCCCTTGCTGTGTACATCTTTGCTAGAGAATGCAGTGCTGCTCTTTGACTTCGACCTTGACATCTTCACTGGGACACCAGAGTCAATTACCCATATTCATATCTGTAGGTAACACTGTTCATGTTTACTGGATCCTAACATGAGCTGGATCTATGTCACACCATGCCATGTTACATAGTTTAAAGTGGTTACATCTCCATTGCCCTTTGGCTTGAACTTCTATGTCTGTGCATAATTAGTGCTATCTACCTACAACCACTTCCACAGCATCTACAGCATTATAAATTGCATCCTGACTGCATGTATCTTTTAAACAAAATTTTCAAATGAAATGCAGGAGTATTTTGTATTTGTTATTAATAATACAAAAATGTGTAGCAGCTGCAAAGGATTGTGGGGAAGATTAATCGGCATTAATCCATGGAGGGGGAAAGAAATATTTTCTTTTGGTTTACAAGCAACTGTCCTGGACCTCAGAACGGTAGTGCTGCAGCTTTGGTAGTTTATAGCTATTGTTAGGCAGTGTTGCAGCCCAGAGAGTGCCAGTATTGGGCAACTGCGGTGTCCGAGGTAAAAAAGTATTGGCAGCAAAGGATTTAACTGATCCCCAGGAGCTTTTAAGGTATAGTGGGATGCAGTCGTAATTGTAATATTCTGAGGCCACTGCAGCTGCACAAGCCAACTCAGATGAGATTGCGAGGCTTTGTGAAACATAATTCAAAAGGTGCAGGATAAAAAATGTAAGATACATTCTTTAGCCCCTTATTCCTCAGTCTAAGGTGAGCATTCAGCACGCAATTGCTGTAGAGATACAATGAACCACGAGTTCAGATAAGATTGAATTACTTACAAAGTAGAATGAGGTTTTTTTGCTCATCTCTATAAAAAGTTTACTAATATTTGTGCTAAGTGTGTTTTTTCAGGAATTCAACATAAGCTATACTGCTTTCTTACCACTTAATTATAGTTCATATGCTTTTGGTCTTCTTCAGCAGTAGATATAATAATTCTATTCCAGGACTTTGAGATTTCTTTTTAAATTCATCTTATAAGAGCCTTTGACAAAGATAAAAATGCCTTTTTTTTTCCACAGGATACTATGGTGACGGTCTGAATGCTATCATTGTGTTTGCGGCATGCTTCTTGCCGGACAGCAGTCGAACTGATTACAACTATGTCATGGAAAATCTTTTCCTGTGAGTGATATGTGAGCAATATGACAGTCTTTTGAGTTAGTACTCATAGTTGTGTAGTGAGAGAGAACCTGTCTTTTAATTAAGAAGTAATTTTGGTCATTAGAAGGAGAGTGATCTAAATGACAAGGAAAACAGCAGTTTTAGATAAACTGCTCAGTGGAGTATTTTTTTGATACTCTTTACCTACTCACACTCCCAAGGTAAGATGTATTTGTCAGGACGAAATGTGACAATAGCATCACCCAAAATGTCAAGGAATGTGTATCTTCAGGGTCTTAAGCCTACAATCATGGTACTGATTCAGTCGTGATTTCCAGCCCTTGCTGCAGACAGTTGGCAGGGACTTAGGCCACCAGGCTGGTTTTCACCATTCATTCTTTATTATATATTATCACAATGTATCGCTGTATGTCATATTTGTAATATATGCTATGGCGGTGTTTAGGACTGTTTTGTGACACTTATTTTAAAAATACAGAATAAATTACAGTTGCTGACACAAACAGCTCAAAGTATTATTTCCTGAGTCCAGCTGCTTCTGATTCATTTGTTAAGTGGCAGGGGCCAGTTGGGCAGGACACAAATTTGACCACATTTATCACAAGAAAATTATGCCTAATAGCAACTTGCATTGACAACCAAAATTGTGAAGGCACAACTCCCCCGAAGTGTCTCCAGCTACTTCTGCTTACAGCTGTTTAAAAAACCCAAGCATTCCAGCATATTTTATGCTAAAACCCAGTAAGTTATTTCTAAAGCCAGCAGAGGCTTGACCTTTGCCATTTGCAGCTTACAAGGCACCAAGAGCACAGGCAGACCCAGTCTCCTTGAAACTACAGTCCTTGAAGGTGCACATGGTGACAGCCAGTGCTTTCAACATTACGTTTATATGTGAAAAACAAGATGGAATGCTTTAGCTCCATCTCAGACCAACTGCTAGCATTTGTCTGATAGAGCCTCTGAGACTCATCTACAGTAACTAATTTACACAATGCCCAGTGATTTAGTGGGGAAGAATTACTGCAGTGGTTTTGATAACTAGGGAACAAAGCTGGGAGTAGTGTTGACTGACATTAAGTAGTTGTTCTTTGACTTCACCCAAGACCCTTGTTCATAGATAGAGCTGGTGGTAAATGGATTTTGCAGAGAAAGTCTTTTCAAGTCTAACGAGACTTCTCCACGTTGCTTGAAGATATTGCTGAAGTAAATTTTGTAATTCACCGTCTGTTTCTGGGGTTGTAGTATAAGACAGAATTCAGGTTAGCTGTGAACCTTCAGCTTATTTTAGGGCTTATAGACTCAGTTCTCTGTAAGACAAGAAAAGGCAAAATCAGATCACCCCCTTCTTTCAGTTGTAGCCCTACTAATTGTGTTGAAATGGAGGAAATGGCACAGTTTACAATGTATCCAATAACTAATATATTTACATATTTGTGAGTTCTTCACTGTTAAATCATATAGGGATCTGTAAAGACCTGCAAATCACTAAATATCTTTTTTTTATACAGCTTGTTTCTGATACATAATTGTACAGTTGAAGTATATAAGTCACCTCTAGTTTCTGATTGACAACTGTCCTTATTTGTTCGTGAGTTCTGCAGTTACTTTCCCTTCTGGATTCCTTTTACATTTCCACTTGCCTTGTTCCTATTTGTTACCTTCAAATCCTGTAAAACAAAATCCTCTTGAGGCAGCATCTTCTATGACATCTCTTGTATATGATGGAGATCCACACAGAAAATTCTGCTGTTTCATTTGTCGCTGCCTGATAACAGTCTGGACATTAAAAATTTTTTAAAAGAATCACAACTTGAAAAACTACACCTTGAAATTCAAAATCAGCACTTCTGCTTTTCCAGTTTCAGAATGAGAGCATTGTTATAGTCAATGAGAAAAATTCTGTCCATTTTTTCAAATAATAATTACCATTATTACCAAATAATAATTACCATTATTACAAAATAGTAAGAAATTAGCAGTTAGGTAAGGTTTGCAAGAGAGCTCGGCATCCCTAAAATGTCAAATGGTCTAATGCAAACCACAGTGAAAAAGAGCTGTTAAGTGAAAGTATGAGATAAGTGAGATTTGACTAAAAAACTAGTTTAACTTTTAATTAAAAGAGATTCCTTTTGTCATAATACTCATTCCTGATGAGAAGTATGCGTGGTGATTGTCCTTATTATAACTGATTATTCACAATGTTCACAATTCCCTTTACACCTAGGCAAATAGACATTTTTCAGACTGTCTGTTTCTATAACTGAAAGGCTTGTAGTATTTTCAGTACTTATACACACTTTTCTGTACACTTCAGTGTCTAAATGCCTTTAAAGCTCTAGATGATGTGCCCAGTGGGAAGGGCTAATTTCATAACCTGTCAGATAGTCAGTAGGTTCAGTTAAATTAAACCTTTTGTGTCAGAATGTCCACACAGTCCCTGACTTTGATATTTCACTGCTAGGCATGAACCTTTACAAATGTCAGGCAAAAGCAAGGAATGCACAGCTGCAATGTGAGAAGGAACAGTGAAAAAGCATTGAGTGAGTAGCTATTTAGATGGGATTTATCAAATGAATGGAACTGGTCAGGTAATGACTGCCTGCCTTATGCCCAGGTAAAATATCACTCTCTGGTGAGAACTAGATTATGTACTCTTCTTTTAAGGAGACTGCATGTTAAGGATTTTAAGATTAGATTGAGAGTTGTTCCCATACACCTGTGAAAGGAGCCATTATTCTCAAGGATAGACCTGTCTTTTGTACTAAGCACACTCAAGCATTCAGGTTTTTAAGGTGATTTTTTTTCACTGTAGTTTTTACATAGGCATGCCTTGGGGCTGGATAGTAGAGAGAACAATTTGAACATTCCTGTGATGAACAACTCCCAAATGAGGTAGGGACTAGTGAAACTGAGTGGAACATACCATATATAGTCCTGGACAAGAATTTAAAGCTATGATTTCATTTGACTGAGTACTGTGCTTTTCTAGGTAAGGTGAGTTTGACCACAAGAGCACTGTTCTGCCTGAATTAACATTGCCAGGCTGAGGAATTCAGTGAGCATTTGGAGTGTTTTGCTTACAAAATGAAGTGACACCATGGAGTGCTCTTCAGGCTGATGGACAAGTTTTATTAGCCCTGAGATTCAAAATGTTCATAGTTGGCAGCCACAGACTCGGTAGCAGTTGTGTGAGGATTGTTACTGAAATATCGGATCAATAACTTTCTAAGATCAATTTGTAGGAGTTAGAAAGCAAGACATTCTTTCATTCCACCCTGGGAGCAAACATGAATCATTTCATAAAGCAAATGCTCAATATATTAGCAGTTGGCAGTAGCTTCTATGTGCCTTATACATACACATTCATGACATAAAAGTTTACATATGTATTACATTTCCAGTAAAATGATCACATATGCACCACATTTCCAGTAACTAATTAAAATATCGAGCATGCACAATTATTTTGTAGATTAGCATGAGGAATGGTCTTCCAGTGGTCTGAGGAATTGTCACTTAAGCTGTGTCTTTCATGAAGTCTTATCCTTCAGGTTCCTGCACACCTGTTTTCACAAACCCTGACTTGTCAAGTTGGTCTGAATAGGGTGATTCATTAACTTCTTATCTATGCCTCTGCCTTGCAAGGCAGAGCCAGCAAAGTGGGCTTCAGACAGGCTAAAATCCTATTATCCTTATGCAGCTTCTTCCTAGCTAAAGTTGGTCAATATACATCTATAAGAGTATAAGAATATTTCTTATATTATCCAGTCTATCAGGTTACAGGATCACAAGAATTACAAATATCTTCTCCTGACTCTTACTATTTTTGCTTTGGTCAAATATGGCAATTAATGGTGAAGAGAACTTTCTCAGCAGTTAATCTCAGAAGTTCCTGGAGCTTCACATGGTCTTGCCACACTCTCACTTGCAAAGTCTCATTATTTCATGTGCTTTTAAGGAAAGACAAAGTCACCTGTGAGTTTTGAAGACGCACTATGAGACTGTCTTTGTAAGGAAACCATGTATTTCTAAAGATGCAGATAAGACTGTTGTTTTCTAGTTACAAATCTACAAGTAGTATGGCAACTAGTGCTAAATGTTTGCATTGGTATAAAAGGAAAGACTGTCTTGTCATAAATTGCTCAGTCTGCCTTGATTTATTCCTAGTAGATTTATTTAGTTTGGGCTTAAATGAATAATGTAAAGTATGTGCTTGCTTACTTCTGTACTTTTATCAGATATGTAATCAGTACATTGGAGCTGATGGTAGCTGAAGACTATATGATTGTCTACTTGAATGGAGCAACACCAAGAAGGAGGATGCCTGGACTGGGTTGGATGAAAAAATGTTACCAGATGATTGACCGACGGCGAGTAGTATTTTCCTTTCCTTTCTGATCCACAACCATTATTTTAAATACTGTCCATTTCTGTTACTCTCCTGTATGACAATGTTCACTGTGTATGATCTTTCTATATGTCTTGTGTTTTCGTGGTTTTTTGTTTGTGTTTTTTTTAAGAAATCACTTCTTTTTTACTTAGATTACGGAAGAATTTGAAATCATTTATAATTGTTCATCCATCATGGTTCATCAGGACAATTCTGGCTGTGACACGGCCTTTTATAAGGTATGTAGTAAATACCAATGATTTTCTATGCCTCTAAGAATACAGAAGCACCCTAAATCATTAATCATGGCAGTTAATCATGGCAAGAGTACCCATTTTACAGTTCTTGTTGCGATATTGACAGTTGAAGTTGACTTTCCTAAAGTGAGTGGAAAGAAAGTGTGATTTATGTGAGTATCTAGTTGCAGACATCACGGGTGTGGTATCATAAACCTGTATATGTGTGCAGAACTGGGAATTCAGTCCCTTAAAATGGTCTTTGTTCCAAGTCCAGCTAAAAGAAATGTAGAAAAGGGGTCTGCATATAGTGATTATCACCTTATTTTAAAAATCCTGGCTACAGGACAAGATTAAACTACAGTTCTGGGTTTAAAAAAAAATAGTTGCTGGTCATGCAAGAGGACTGCTGGCACCCTGAGCTGTTTCAATGCATAGTAATCCTGGGTCTGAAAGGTTTTATGCCAACACAAATAATACTCTGATTAGTAAGACAAAAAATATACCAGGCAGAAGGTGACAATTAAAAATATCAGAGTAACAGGGAAACAGTACTTGGAATTATCAACAGTAACAATGGGGATTCGCTGGGTTGCATTTAGTGTCTGAGATAGTTCTGTTGCATCTTATTTACTCCCAGATGAAAGGTAGGAAATAAAAACTTTTAAACTTTAAATATGCCGCATCTGTTTCAATTCATTAGCCATTTATTCAGAATAACCATACTGAGCAGCTGTGATTAGAGGCTTTGCATTGCCAAACAGGAGAAAAGGTTTGCTCTAAATAGTTTGGTAAAGCAAACTAGCAGTACAAAACTAGACACAATAGAGACCATTTAAAACTCTCAATTTCAGCCAAGTAGGTTGAGTCTCTGCACAGGAGGAAAGTGAAGTGCAAATAGGAACTGAAAAAAGGTGGGTAGTACGCACAGCCAATGTGACTTTTGTGGAAGATGACGTAAGATACTTGAACTGTCATGGAAGACAGAAGAGCAGAATGCCAGGAGGTATGAAAAGAGAGTCAATTCAGTAAAAAGCAATGTGAAGAGAGAAACTTTATTTGATTGAAAGCTGATGCTGTATCTTAGCTAAACATGAGCAGCATAATTTTAATTCTGTTTCAGCTGAGATGCAGGACAAAACAGTAGGAGTCAAGAAACTGAAAGACAACAGAATGGCAAGGGAGAGTTCAGTCACTGAGGGTGTGCTACAGTAAATTCTGCCTCAAAAACTAGCAGGGTCGTTCAGTGGAGTCTGGTACTCATCTTGAGAAACACTAAACAGTTGTCTGAATACACATGATGAGAGAACTAGTGATTGCAAAGATAGATCCTAGATACTCTTTATGGACTAGATATTCACATTAGAGATCACCTCAGCTGTATTCGGTAAGAAATTAGACTTCTAATAAAACAGATGTCTGTGAAAGATACTTGGGATTTGATGGAAATATTTAAATAAAAGAAAGTTTAGCACTCTTGGCAGCACATCTCCCCTTAAGTCTGAAAGAAAAAAGAACTTCCTGTTTCAGTAACATATTTGAGATGCCCGTACACAGATTGCCACAAAGTAATTACTCAGAAATCAGACACTGTGGTGGAACTAGCGGACCCTGGAGAATCCTCAAGTGGAAAAATCAACCCTTGAAAGATTTAAAATTTTTTTTCTCCACCCCATCTTTAGAAGGTTCTGATTGGTTTGCATCTTGCCAAGTTACTTTAACTGCAGTACAGATGAGGCAGACTGTGATTAACATTTTGAATAAAATACTAAGAATTATCTGCATGTTATCATGGGTTCCACTGGTCTATTGTGAGTGATTCGTGAACCTTAAAATGTGACCACTGGCCTGCTCCAGTGTGTGTACCTAGTGATGCTAATCTGATACAGAGGCAAATTAAAATGGATGAGCTTGAACAGCTATTCACAGTACCTTCATGCATTCCTATCTAAGTTGTCTCACTTATTAAAAATATATGTATGGTAAGGGGAGGGACACTAGCTTTCTGCTCGGAGAAATTTCAGAGGCTTCATATTGTTTGGTCATACCCCCAGATCAGCAGTAAATAGGAAGAATTTGTTCTGGTTTTCATAACCTACACTTAAGAAAATTTATGGTCAAAGTGCATTTGTCACTGTTACTGATGTTAAAAGATTATGTAAAAACAACCAGAGCTAAACTTGAAAAATTGCTTTAGGAGTCAAATGAGAGATTTCTCATAAGTTGATACATATAAAATTCATGTTAGACAAGTGAATAGCCTTATTTTTTTCAAGTGTGTTTGCTGAACAATTTAGCCTTTTTCTGAGTGATCATTTCTCAAACACAAAGGATCATATAGCACAGATGAAATAAACAAAGGAAATATTTCCTCATAAGAAGACCCTGCATTAAGTATAGATATGACATACAAAATCAAATCTGCACTTATCTGAACAAGTGAAGTTTAGTTTTCTTATGTTTGGTTTACACTCAGAGTTAAATATAAGTGGTAATTCATCAGAATCACTTGATGTTAATTCATCATGACCACATTAAGTGAATGTGGTCTTCCCTTCTCTTTTTACATGTAAGTATTCTGTAGGGGATTTGATTCTTTTCAGAATTTTAATGCATCTCCTTCCAATTAATCACATTGCCTAGTATGTAGGCATTACAATTTTATAATGTTGTCCTAAATACTGTGATTCAGACTAAGCAAGAAACAGCAAAAAGTCTAGACTTGATTTCAGCGTCACTAGAACTCACGTGCTCATGATCAGCTGAACTGTATAACTGAAATTTGAATAACAAAATGCTTAATTATTTAATATCGTGAGTAATGTCTTTATTTTAATATATCATTAAAGATTTTGGGGAAAAGACAATTAACATGTTTTTGTGTTTCAGCTCTAAGTTCAGCAGTAAGATACAGTATGTCAACACATTGGCAGAGCTTTGTGAGATTATTCCAATGGAGTATGTGCACATCCCTGACAGTATTGTCAAGTAAGTAGTGTCCAGTAAATGTGTGCTTCTTCTAATTGTACTTGTTTCACTCATTTGTGGAAACTATTTCTACAAACTAATAATAATTGTTTAGAATCTGGAAGAAAAACTGAAAGCCCCATCCTGATAGTGTTACAAAAGCTTGTGTTTTGCTCCACAAAAATTCCACTGTCAAACTCAGAAGCAGGAAAACACTGTAACTGAAACACAAAGCACAGTAAATATATACTGTCAACAGAACCAGTGTTTACAGGAAGAAGATGGTTTTGTACTGGACCAAATAGTACTGCTGTTGAAATGAAAAAACTTTCAGGCGCAAGAGTCCCTTCATCAACCCTATGACTATATAATCCAAATTGGAACAGGCTGTTCACTCACTAATTGCAACCCAGAAAGAAAATAGGAAAAGAGTTTAACCCTTCCATGGATATCACCTATGCTATATTTTTCCATATGTGGAAAAATGTTTTTAAGTTTTAGTCATACAGACTTTGAACTGAAACAGTAATTCAAAGATTGTTCAATAAAAACCACCTAAAGTCCAGAAGCTCACCGTTCCTTATGTTGATTTTCATGGTTTAATGCAGAAATACTGAAAACAGCCTCAGTTCTTGCTTCTTACATGTAAAGGTTTTTAAAATGCAGATATTTCTAAAGGAAATATACCTACTAAAAAATTGTAGAAAGTTGATTTGAATTGGTCACCTCAACTGGCTTTTTTTCAGACCTGAAAACAAAAAACTGAAATGATGTACCAAAACTGAAAACCTTAGAAATCAATTATGATTTTCATTTGGGTCATTATTAAAGAGAAATGCTGTTCAGGAATGTTCTTTTTTGATTATTCTTTTTATCAATGTCTTAGATTTTGAACAGGCAAACATTCTGTACTAGAAGGTATTGTGATGAGTAAATACATAAGTATGACTGTCTTTTGCTTATGGTTTGTCAGTGACTAGGTATCAAGAACTCTTCTTTTGGAGCTATCATAGATCTCCTCAGCCCAGGCTGGAGTTCTCCCACCTGCCTCCCAGTAGTTGTGAAAGCAGCATAATTTCCTTCGCTGGGCTGGTTGTTGCTCTGATACTTGCAGTGTAATTTCAGGGAGCAAGTAGGAAGCTCAGTTCTTGCAGTGGCACTTGTGAAAATAATAAATTACAGTAAAAATCAGGGATCGTAGGGGCTTGCCCTAAAATTTATTTGCTATTTTTATTTCTTTAGAGGTGGAGTGATGCTAAGAATATGCATCACAGAGGTCATTAGTCACGTGTTAAAGAGATGGCCATATTGTTTTAACATCCCTAAAATGTTTCAATCCTCCCTTCATCCCTTCTGCCTTCCCTCCCTTCGTCTTTTTATTCCTGTAAACATTTTAGTTTCTTAATAGTTCTCTCTGATACAGACCTTAAACTGATAATTCAGTGTGTTTCTCTGTCTCTACTGTTACAGCAGCAGTACGTACATCTGTGTGGTACACATCTTTTCTTCCCTGTAGACTGAAAACTGTTTTGGAAGTCCATTCATTTTCAGACCAAAGCTGAAATGATCACAGCACCAGTACCAAAGAAACTTTAGGACTTAGACCTTAAGAAATTTTAGGGAAATCCTACTGTATGTAATCAGCAACCAGATGAGAGATCATGATTTTGCTGGGGGAAAAAAAAAAAAGTGACAGGAGTGGCCCACTGGTGGCAAACATTTTCAAGATGTCAGATACGAAGATTTAGTTGGTGTGTGCATTCAAGGCACTTAGTGGTTATTCCCATGCCACAGGGAGAAGAGTAGTGTTCAGCTGATAGCATCCCTTCTGCTGCAAATTGAGAGAGATTCCTGTAGCAAAATAAAATAAAATACAGCTTTTGCCTTCATAATTGGACCACTGGCAAGAACAGAAATACCACTATGGTCATGAGGAATCCCACTTGTAGAAGATGCATAGAGTTATGCTATGAGCTCAGCTGTGTGTGGTTTTTTGGTAGTTTTTATGGAAATGGGATACAATGTGCCTGTTGTATCGTATGAACATGTACGTCTTTTCTCTTCCTTCACCCACTCTTACCTTGTAAGGTATGATGAAGAGAAGTGTATTAAGAGAAGAATGAGGTAAAACTTGCTTTCTAGCCCATGCTGCTGCTCATAATGGAGTGAATCTGTGTGGCAGCCTTTCACCTGCAGGTGACCTCAACAGCTGAATGAGAGAGGACTTCACAATCATGTGGAATCTTACTTTCCCCTTCAAGCTGTTGAGATCAGCCTCCCTTGCAAATAAAACTTACTCAACTGTAAATGTCTTTGACTTGGCCCAGGCTGCAGCTAGTTTAATATTGTCTGATAGAGCAAACAAATGCTTTGAGCTCTGTCCACTGGGCATGCCTCAGATCCCTGCTGCTTTTGTTTCTGCCTCCAAATGAGCTAAAGAAGGAGTTACAAATTAAAGGTGGGTTGGGCGCAAGGATAAATGGTATCATACTGAACTGCAGAGCTTTAGAGTCACTTCAGAATACTGGATGCCCATTTTAGAAGCATGTACTAGTTCTTTGCTATTGCTCTGCTTCTTTCTTATGCTCTGCTTGCTTCTTTGTTTCTTCATATCAATAACTTTTACTCATGCAGACTGGATGAAGAACTGAGGGAAACTTCAGAAACAGCTAAGTAAGATAGCTTTCAGCTTGATGCTGGCATTGTATTTACATGGTTCACAGGAATGGATTGAATGCAGTAGGTTATTATGTGTTTGGTATAGCAGTCAGCTCGTAGTTTCAATTACCGTGTAAGTTGCTGCATTTGTGAATTGACTTCCCCTTTCACTATAAGCAGCCTGCTTTTGCACTGTTGGGTCTCACTGAGGAATAATCATATCCTTATACTATAAAAAACATTTTTGCTATTTTTGATGATTGTTTCTGTAGTCATGGGAAGGACTGAAGTAACTTTTTTACTCCATTAAAATGGTTCATTTAACATTTTCTACCCTTCACCCGTTATGTCAGATGGTTCGTAATGTTTTAGGAGGTAGTTATTTTTAAGAATTATTTTTTTACAATTGACAAAGTTAAGGATAGCTATTGTACCTCATTCTCAGTTAAGGTTGGTAGGTAACTTTTCCTGTCTTTCTAGTAGTGATTGGATGGACTGGTGGATTAATACTTGATAATATATTGTCCGTGTCACTTAATCGGTGTCAGCTGATGATCACATAGTTAAAACTTATCATTTTGTGCTTTGACTATAACATGCTGAGGCAGCATGGTGCAAGAAACCATGGAAGTCCTTACATGGAAGGGCACAATCCTTCACTCACTGAACAGACCTTAGGTGCACTTTTTTTCACTCTTGTGTCATACACAAGATCCTGGAGAAGGAGGCTGTGTCTTTTGGTTCTAGTATGACATTTCCCTGCAGTTTTTTTTAACCAGAGAATTTATGTTTTTTGAAGTCTCTTTTCAGTCTCCTTTAGCTTATGCTCTTCAGAAATTTCATCTTACCACTCCTCTTAGTTGTATTTTTTTTTCTAAAATTTCTTCTCTTGTGGTACACATATTCTTCCAGTTCTACTGAGAGTAGTTTTTAAAATGGCCACAGAGAAATACACAAAACACTGGCCACTGCTTTTTGATTCTAGCAGTTGGACTGCCTCAGAAGTAGTAAATTTGAATAAGCAGTTATCTGATACCACCTGAATATTTTGTTTAACAAAAGAGGCCCACCCAACCTTGAAATACAGCTTCTATCCCTTCTATTCAAGCATTTTCAAATGCATTGTAGTATATGACAATGAAAACTCTGTGGAAGAAAGCTGCTTTCTTGTTATTTCATTTTAAAGAGTGCAGGCTGCAGCATAGCAAGTGAAAGGGGAACTAAATATTCACATGAGGCATCACTGGTTATTGTTGATGTATGAAGTCACTGTAAGTGCATTCCCCTTCCCCAACTTAAGGAAGTAGCTTAAAAATTTATTACTCAAACTAATTTGTGTTTCAGACACTAAGCTCACTGCATTCCTGTTTAGTAATATCTATGTGTTTGTGCTGTCAAAGATACTCACTGCAGTTAGTTATTACATCCCCCAAATTTGATGTCATATTTAAAAAGAGAAAGAAATAAACAGAAGAAATCTTTACTACTACGTCTTTTTCCTTCTACCCAGAACTAGCTGCCTCTCAAATGATCCAGAAATTACTTCAGTGGAGCAGGAGTAAGAATTTGTCTAATACTGTCATTACATTTTAACATTATTTTACAACTGTGCTGATAGGAACTGAGGCTGGGTAGACTCCATAAAGCTTTTTGGAGACCTGAATGCTTTTATAGTTATTTTCAGGAACTTGATTCAACATATGCAATCAGAAAAAGCACTGATGTCAGGATTTATTATATTTGCATTGCAGATAGATTTAAAGTATCCTTGGCCATTTCCAAGCATAGAATTTCCAAGATGGAATTCTTAGCTTGAGGATATTCAGGTTAAATTATGTGAAAAACAGGAAAAAATGCAACATGAGCGAAGATGGTCCTATGCATTATCCTTAATTAGAAGTAAAGTGGTAGACTTGCCATTCTCATTCAGAGATTAAAAAGCCCTATATTTTACTTTGCTTTCTAGATCATGCTTTTGATAGTCTTCCTTCTCATTGCTTTTTGTGCTTCTCAGCTTCTTTCATAGTTATTTCCCTGACTAAATCTCCAGTATCTTTATGTCCCTTACTTCGAAAGCTGGGCTGGTTCCCTTGGAAATGGGAGTCTGTCAGTCCTCTGACATGCTGTTCCTCCTGTATGATACCATAACTGAAGCATGTGAATGGAAAGCCCTTCACTGTGCAGTTAGTAGCAGGGAGCATTAACAGTTTGTTGCCAGAATACCATGTCAGGAGAACTGCCCATTGCAGCAGTGAGTGTGTTCCTGGCCAGTGTGTAGAGGAGAGGAGTGACTGGGGACTCTGCTGTCCCTAACCATCTGACTGGTGTGTTGAAATACACTGATGTCTCACAGTGGAATATTGTTCAGGAAATGGCATGTATTAAACCTTACTCCTCAGTGAAAGAATCCATATTATATCAGTATTAATAAGGAAGCAAATAATTAGAAATACATGTAGCAGATGCATAAATAGAACAGAGCTTTTTCTTGTCACTTTTTAAAAATAAAATTGTACTCTGGTAGGCTATCACAGTATAATACCTGATATGTAGGCTAGAACCATAAGCTAAATTGCTGATTCCTGGAGCAGTTGACAATAACATCGCTAAGCGTCTTCCCCCCCTCAGTCACTGTTTATTCTGTAATGGGTCAAAAGGAGAACTGTCTTTTATGAGAACAGACAGTAAATAACAAGTTAAAAACTTTTGATTTATGACTTTGGCCTTTTTGTCGCCTGAACAATTTTTCTCCTATTTTCAAAAGAGAAGCTGGGCAGCAAAAAGCAATATGAGAAGAGAATTTATACTTAGCTTAAATACAGTTTGGGCCAAATTAATGCTAATTCCTGCTATTTATTTTTTCTGTGTAAATATGAATCTGTCTTCAGAAGTGACAATTTTCCTGTGGTCGTATCACTCATTTCCACTGTCATTTCTTCAGCAGATAGGATTTCTCATGTAAATGTCTCCACAATGATAATAGCAGTTTTACAGACTTTTCTTCTGTATGCTTTCTGACAAAACCTCTCTGGAGTCTGCCCAGGTCTTAGTTTGCTTCTGTTGCCTTTTTCATATCTATTCCAAAGGCCTTTGTCTGTTGTCATGCTCTTTTATATTGTATTTTATTCAACTTTTTTTTACTTTAAAAGAAAAAAATAATTTTTAAATAATTCACAGTGTGATCTGTAACAATTCATAAATGCTGAAGGTGCCTTAAATGGTTATGTATTCTGTGAGGAAAACTGTAATTTGATGTAATGTTTATGATGACAACTTCTTATTCTGAAGAATGCTTCTAAAGTATGTGATGACATGTGCTTTGCACTAAATGGCAAAGTTGTACTTCTATAAAAGTTTTTAGGGGCACCTATATCTTGCCACACTGTGGTGTCTTTCTACCAGTGGATTGTTCCACATCTGGTGTCTAATTCAAAGTGGAATTGCTGGGAATGTTATTAATTTTAGTAAAACAGTAACAGATGTTATTAAATTGTGTATTTTTCGTATTATAGTAGATAGGATGTGTGTGAAGTATTTGACACCAATGTATTTACTTATGTAAATGAGCGATGAGGATGCTTAGTGTTAAACATTTTGTGGGAGCTGAGGATTGGGGAAATGACTACCCATGTGTTTTGTAGCACTGATTTCTTTTTTGTCGTTGTTCTGTGTTTGTTTTGGTTTGGTTTTTTTTGTTTTGTTTGTCATTGGTGTTTGGTTTTTTTTGCTTTTGTTCTATAGCATTGACATGACCCTGAAATAGAAAGCATCACTGCCAGGCATTTGGAGAAGATGGTTTGCTTGGATTTTTATCACCTGGACATCCATGATCATGGTGTGCAATAGGCAATTTGGGTTAATTTTGTTTGGTTTATTATTTTTCTGTGTCATTCAGCAATTCAAGAAGACCAAAAGGACCAATCCTGATGCCATGGAAAGAAGCAGAGTTTTGGGCCTGGTTATTAGTTAGTCTTCAGATGACATCCTAACTCCAATCGTAAAGGCTATGAATGTGAAACAAATACTTAATATTTTCTACTAAAAATTGAAAGTTAAATGTATACCTCTACAGTTAGGAGTCACCTTCATTTGTTAGGAATAGATGTCAGAGTATTATTCAAAGTGTATCTAGTATTAAAAAAAAAAAGTACTGCAATGCATTTTTTCTGTGTCATAGAACACAGCAGTAAAAACATGAAAAGGAAAAAAAAACTAAGCATTTCTTGTTTGCTGCTGTCCTGTGTACTGGCACAGAAGACGTTGCACTGCAAGTCCTTATTCACTGGAAAATAACTGCAGTACTTTCCAAACCTGCTAACTCACCGGTCTTTTGGGATGTCCTAACAGAAGTAATAGTGTTATATACCCTCTGTAATATTATTCTTCTCTTCAGGAGATTCTAGAATTATATCTGTGTATTCTTTACTTTGCAAATAAGTCCTCAGACACAACAACTCAAGATAATTTGCACCTTTGTTTTATGTGTGTTCCAGTCCTACTTCCAGTCCAGAATTATTAATTAAAGAGAAGACAAGCAAAAGGTTTCTTGGGTAACAAGGTTTAAGCAAAAGGCAGGACAGTGTGATCCTTGATTTTTCAGTAGGATCTAAACTGAGAGTAAAAATTATATTTCATCCTTCAATTTAAAAATTGATATTTTTGTTCTGTGGCTTGCACATTTCCATCTTTGTCAATTTGTGTCTTGTATTTGCAAGGCAGTCTGCAGGAAAGGAAGTGAGTGTCCATCACTGTGTGTGCACCTTTCAGCTACTGTAATGAAGATTGACAAAATTGTCAGAAAGGCAAGAGCTTGCCAGATGCTTTCTTGTCTGCCAGCATCCAACTGAAATATCTGCACCTCTGCAGGCCTTGCTCTGTACTGAAAGGTGGTGCAGTGTGTCTATTATACTAGCTAGCCAGCTGCATCGCATCTTTCTGCCAGTTTCTTTTAATTTTCATAGAGAAGGGCCTAGTCCTGCTGACCATTGTTGCTGCTCTATAACCTTGCCCTAAATTAGGACCTGGTAGTTTCCACTGTTTCTCATATATTTGAATCTTGGCTTGTGTCTGCCTTATAAAATTGCTGTCACTTAGTATATTGGGGATAATGTTTTATGTACAGATTAATATTTGTATTAACTTCCAGATGCTAGTTAAACTCCACCTACATCTAACCTATTAAAAGCATCTACTAGCATGAAGTCACATCTTCTGTAGACCTGTAGTTTAAGCCATCTAGAGTGAGCCAAATGATTTGCATTATGCTATAGGTGAGAGAAGTGTTTGCTAAAGAAGTCACCACAAAGCCGAGGTTCAACACAAATCTTTATGCACTGTTTGAGACCTAACTGGGGATATAAGAGATTTGTGGGCTTAGCGGTGGATGTCAGCTCAGAGGTGAGTTTAATTCTAAAGGCCTTGTGTAAAATTACTAAACAGCAAAGTTGTATGTGAATGTGATTAATGTGTACGCCTAAGAATGGCAGCCAGAGACAGAAAGAATTTAAGTCAAATGTCATGTTAAAACAAAATGGGGCATCAGTGCCATGGTGCAGAAATAATTGCAAGATCAGTTTATGGTTATCTTTGCTTATTAATGTATTTTGAAAAGTTTTTTAATGTTACAATATGGCAAGTCTATATTATACTAACAATTATATATCAATATTATTAAATCAGTAGTTTGTTGGAAGAGAAATATAGTACATATAATTGCACAGATACAGTCTTTTATATACAGATTTTTTTCTACTGTGTATTGGAGTGCTCAAATAAAATATAAATTAATAGTTGCACTTTTTTGTGTTAAAAGACCTATACTGACTTAAATTATAGATTAAGCAATACAAGGATACTTAATATCATTGTATGCATATATATACATATGAATCAGAAATAAAGAACTGCAGCCCAACACTGGAAGTATTTTCTTTCAGCTCCAAGTTTTTTCTTGGGTGCGTGGAGACACTTGACACTTTCAAATCACAGTTCTTTGCACAGTTATAAATATTTTCTTCTTTCAGTTCCCTACCTGTCCTTCCAGAAATTTAAACTGAGTCAGTGCTGTGTCTCATGATGTAACTCTTCATATCCATGTCTTCAAGTCCTTGCTTTGCTGATACTAGCAATATTGGTCCCGAAGGAAAGCAGGAGAAGCTCTTCAAATTGCTCTCTAATTTGCGTTTATGCTGTTACCTAAAAATCAAATACACAGAGAATCTCAATCCGTCTCATATGGTAGGCAGAAAATGGAAGCTATGGGGCAGAAACAGACAACTATGAAACTGCCTTGGTCAGTTTAACAACCTTATTGACTGCCATGAGGGAAGGAGTCAGAGCTGGTGGATGTTCAGTCCTCTTTACTACCTGGTACCATGTACCCACTCCTGTCCCTGTCTATGCCAGCATCAAAGGAGTCAATTTATACTGCCAGTACTCTTAAGTAAACATGGCTGACTTTTGGACAGCTAACCTGGAGCATTGGCCAGTGAGGCACCAAATCACAGCTAAAACAGGATAACCTATGGCTTCTTAATTGCCACCCAGCTGCAAGTAACT